TATGCATTGGTAAGCTTATTAACTTATAACTCCACTCTAAGGATATTGGTTGGCACATCTACCTTTTCAAAGGAAACTACCAAATATCGGTATCTATAGCCATTGCTCTGGGTCGACGGGTGGGGGAGGGGAATAATCTATTTTTTTCAGAGAAGGATCCCTTAAACAGGTTACACACAGACTTACACCTCACGGCTAGAGAGGGGAAAGAGCTGAGGAAGATCTCACCATTCCAGATACAGACTCTCACTCAATCCCCTTATTCTCAGTCTAGCCACCTCACTTCTACTATGTACTGTGCTTAGCATCTTCAAATCCAGAAACCCTCTGGGTTGGTGTTTCCAGAAAATAATTATCCTATCTCATTTGTTCTTTATACAAACTGCCTCTAGTTTTCCTGTTTTATCCTACATCTTAATGCCACGCTAATCTCTATGGCTTCTCTCTAAATTCTTACTATCTTTTCACTAAACTTTATTATCTTTTTACCTGGTATCCTACAACTTAGTACTCATTAGTGTCTTAGTGATTTCATGTGTCTATATTCCTTAATTAGGTTATACTGGGGACTCGGCCCACATCTTACACTTCCTTAGTGCATCCCATAATGGTGGCACTCAATAAATACAGTGTGATAAGTTTTATATAAGTAATATACTGTTTCTAATAGTTGTAACTTGAAGTCACGGTTTGTCAATTATTATTTTATGAGAAAACCAAACTGATTTTCAATACAATTTGATGAAAGAGAAGATCAGCTAATGATGCTATCAACTTTACAACTGAGGAAATTATGATAAAATGAGTTCCATAAACTCACAATTTATCTGTGGTAGGCTTAGAAAATAATTTATATTCTTACATAGCATGTCAAGTAATTCATTATAAGAACCAAAAAAGAAAACTATCTTTTCTTGGCATTTTTTTAAAGATATATTTATTTATTTTAGAGAGAGAAAGCCTGAGCAGTGGGAGGGGCAGAGGAAGAGGGAGAGAGAGAATCCTCAAGCAGCCTTCCAGGTGAGCACAGAGCCCAGTGCAGGGCTCCATCCCAGGACCCTGAGATCATGACCCAGTCTGAAACCAAGAGTCAGCCGCTTAACCCAACTGAGCTACCCAGGCTCCCCACTAGCATTTTAAAATTGTATCCAGGCTCCCCACTGGCATTTTAAAATTGTATCCAGAAATGTGGAACTGTTATAGAAAGAAATCAGGGTACAGCTAACTATATCATATACTTTTGTAGCTGACTATACATATTCGATTCAAATAATTTAATCTAAAATCGGCATATATGATGTTATATCTATCTTAACGATAACATTGCTTTTAAATAATTATGTAATAACCTGTAAATATGAATGTGACTTAAAGCACAATAATTAAAAGAATTTAAAAATTCCACCATAGTGGTATACAATTTAATAGTCTCCGAATGCTGAAACTATTATTCCCTTTGTAAAATATTTATAAAATGAATAGTTTGTAAAATGGTTTAAGAAATTCAAAGTGGAAATTATTAAACACTTTCTTATAATAAAATGATTTTAGGAAAACCAAAAAAAAGAGAGAGAGATATTTTGATAGCTGGTGAAACTAAATCTCTAAATTACATCTCATACTTTTAATGCATTTCAAACTAGGAATAGGCATAGCCTGAAAAACCAACTTTAAAAAACAATTTTCATACAGAGCATATGTACAGGTAAATCTTGATTTAAAAACTTTTGAATTTGCAAGTGGAGGGAATTATTTTTAAATGGTACAATTTATAGGTCATTGGATCAACAACATGAACTAAGCGTTGGTTATGATGACAACCTATAAAATCTCATTATTCAACAGAAGGAAAAACCTAAGCTCAAAATGTATCCTCTGAAATCCTTTATGTCTCTGTAGTTGTCCCGCTGATTTCCAAACAGTTAGACCTTTTGAAGAAATAACGATCCCTTAAAAAAAAGACAACCAAGATAAGTTCCATAAGTCTTAAATTTGCCATTTTGGGGGGTAAAAGATTTACATTAGTTGAGGAGTGGCCATAATCAAAGACTGAGAGTTCAACTATGTTAGCACCAAGATACTGAGGAACTTTAATTTCATCCCCTTTTTAAGAGTATGTTGTGGTCAGTTGTCACCATTTTAGGGCTAAATATATGGGGGAAACTACTAATAGAAATTTAAGCCTGGGGGCGCCTGGGTGGCTCAGTCGTTAAGCGTCTGCCTTCGGCTCAGGTCATGATCCCAGGGTCCTGGGATCAAGCCCCGCATCAGGCTCCCTGCTCTGCGGGAAGCCTGCTTCTCTCTCTCCCACTCCCCCTGCTTGTGTTCCCTCTCTCGCTGTGTCTCTCTCTGTCAAATAAATAAATAAAATCTTAAAAAAAAAAAAAAAAAGAAATTTAAGCCTGTATTATGGTGGAGCCACCACACCTCACAAAAGGAGGACCCTTGAGTAACTTGGGGAGTACTTCTTTTGTAACTAACAAAATGTTTAGTTTGAGCACCAAATTTTTAATTTACTATGATATTAGAGATCTTTAGGATAATGCACATACACACATATTTTTAGAAGACTTAGCTCACAGTCTTGTTTAGAAATTGAGGAAGTGGGGGCGCCTGGGTGGCTCAGCCATTAAGCGTCTGCCTTCGGCTCAGGTCATGATCACAGGGTCCTGGGATCGAGCCCCGCATCGGGCTCCCTGCTCTGCGGGAAGCCTGCTTCTCCCTCTCCAACTCCCCCTGCTGTGTTCCCTCTCTCACTGTGTCTCTCTCTGTCAAATAAATAAATAAAAACTTTAAAAAAAAAAAAAAAAGAAAAAAGAAATTGAGGAAGTGGATAAATAATGTTAGGAAGTCTTTCAAAGGCCCTAAAGATATGGGGACTAATCAGGATGGGCAGGGTGGAAGTCAAGTTATCTTATTAAAATATACCATCACATCAAGAATGTGCTGGTAGTAAAAGGTCTATTTTAGGAATAACTTATCAATCACACAAATAAAGCACAAAATATGACAGAACATACAGAAAAATACACTTCACTGGAAATATTAAAAGCGACTCATTGGTACAAAAGCCTAAGAAACCACTGTTGTCGGTTTGCTATAAATTACAGAAGTAATTTTATATATATTCTATCATGAAAATTCCTTTTCTGCATTGAAGTAATTTAATAATGAGGGACGTCCTCCTCCTTATTCCCCCTATATACAAATACATACAAACTTGCTTAAAAATTAAAATGCAATAACATCTATTTATAAAGGATTGCCTATGGGTGCCTGGGTGGCTCAGTCGGTTAAGTGTCTGCCTTCAGCTCAGGTCATGATCTCGGAATCCTGGGATTGAGCCCCTGGTTGGGCTCCCTGCTGAGCAGGGAGCTTACTTTTCCCTCTCCCTCTGCCTCTCCCCCTAACTGTGCTGTGCGCTTTTTCTCTGTCAAATAAATAAAATCTTTTTTAAAAAATTAAAATTAAAAAAAATAAAAAGGATTGCATACTGGGATGCTTCACTGCATATTTTAAGATGCCTGACATGTTCCAACTTACCCTGTGCAATGGTAAGGGTGGATGCCACAAGACAGATCTTTTACTATGGGTAGTAGGCTTGCCCTCCAGTCAAATTATTTTGAGCTTGCTTTTAAGGTGAGTAATTGCATTGAGAAGTACAATGAGTTGTACTAAGTTTAAAACTTCCTGGAGCATATTTTGTATTAAAGTTTTAAAGTTTGATTAAAACTTTAATGAAAACAAATTATGAATTTTTAAATAATTTCATTCTTTTGGATAGAATCCTAAGTCAAATTTAGAAAGTATTATGCTGCTAATAATATTAATTCAGCCTTGCAAACAGTCTCTGGAAAAAAATGATTTATGCCATTTGAGGAGGTAACTAGTTACCTTCATGAATAAAAGTAGGCTAGTTTAAACAAAAAATGAGGAAAAACTAGAGTCCATTAAAATGATAGTCTATATTCAAATACTCAATTAAGATATGCTCATAATAACTACAAATTCAATGTTATAGATTTATGGATAGAGCCATAGGCCTAAACTTCAAACAAGAATAGTTAGACCTAAAATAAATCACATTATAAACAAGTAAGAATTTAAATTCATATAGGATATTCAATTCCATAAAACAGTTATAATTATTAGTAGTACTAATGTAACTTCAATTACACATATGAGTAGAATATGACTAATGATTCTTTTAATCACAAACAAGATTTTTCTAGGCAACTAGTATTTCTTAAGCCTATAAACAAAGCTAAGGCATTTGTCCATTATTTTCTGATCAATGGTCACTAATTATTATGTCCTGAATCTAGACCCATTCAACATGTAGCTCATGCTGTCTAGGTCCTAACTGTGCTAACAGAACTTTCTGTGATGGAAATGTTCTTTATCTATATATGACAACATGTGGCTATTGAGCACTTAAAATGTGGGTAGTGCAACTGAGGAACTGAATTTTTAACTTTCTTTAATTTTGATTAGTTTAAATTTATTTTTAAATAACCACAGGTGACTGGTGGTTATTGTATTAAACAGCACAACTTAGAGGGTTCAAAAAATAAGGGCAAATGTCTTATGTTAGGTCTAACTCTAGTCTGCTTGCCAGTTTCCATAAGCATGGTACTCACAAATGCTTATTAGAGTAATATGCCAAAAAACCTTCTGTCCTGTGCTTTTATCTTCACTCAAAAATATGATTAAATCTATGCCAGGAAACATCTAATACAACATTCAGACAAATCTAAACAAAAAATACCATTTTTATTAGCGTTCACAGTGTCAGTACAACTATATTGATTAATGAGGCAGCCTGGTGGGTGTGTCAATCTGTCTAATGTTAGTTCTAGAATGACTAGAATTCAAACTATGAAATATCCACTCCTAAAAAGTTTTTGTCCATTATCTATCATAAACACAAGAATACCAATTACTGCATAGTTTTCAGCTCCATTGGTTAAACACTCCAAAAGTATGTCAAACCATTTTACCTGACAGACATATTTGTTCTTCCATTTGCTCAGCACACAGTGACTGTTTTGCATCAGTTCCTGAAGGAAACAGAAAAAGAGAGAGTGCAGTTAGCTATACACATTGTTGCTATCAGAGTGCTTCTGATTTGCAAGCACAAAAAAAAAAAAAAAAAAAAAGATCAGCATGCCACACAAAGATGCAACTGTTTTGGAACTCCTCACTAGACAAAAGCAAAGCTATCATCACCAGGAGAGTTGATCCTTTATGAAAATTAAAACTGTTGAAAGATGTTCTAAAACAGATTTGTTTGTTGCCATTTTTGAAACTTTTGGAAAGATACCTCCAACTCCTTGAGTGAGTCTCGAAGTTTTTCTGGGCGTCTATTTTTGAGTGTCCACGGATAATCTCGTGCTGGCAAATGAAATATGTACTACAGTTAGTTAAACAAGATTTAAAAAGGAAACTCTGCTTAGCAGTGTGCCTTAGGAGGATTAAAATAAAACACCTCCTTAATTGAGAGGAAGTGGGCTTCATTTCCATCATCAAATAACAGCCTTTTGAAAGGCTTTGTCATAGGAACAGGATTTTTACCACAAAACAACCTTGGTGATCATAATTTTATAATGACAACCAACACGGCTCAGAGAATCCCTGGGAAAGTTTCCTAGTCTTGTGAATCTAGTACCTAGTTGTAAATGACCAACTCTTTACCAGAGAATTAACTTTCTCATATAAATAATTAAAAGTTCAATCCAAAAGAAATTCCAAATTCTGCAAGTAACCCTCTCAGACCTGAAAATTCCTACAAGTGACTGGATATACTGAGGAAAGAAATAAAACACAAAATATGATGCACAGAATATAAATTTAAAAGGAAGCATCACCTATTAAAACTTTATTTAAAATGATCCTCTTTAAAATGTACACAATTCAATAATGATAAGTCTTTGTTTTGTTTTAAGTGCATTTAATTAAAAGATAAAATTATTTAGTAAAATCTCAATATTAGCCTAAGACAAACTAAAAATAGTTTTATGTAAAAGAACAAAATTTTAAATTCATTTAACCATATCTATTTCATCACGAAAATTCATCTTTGAATTCTAAATAATAATTCTAAAAAAAGAGTTGTATGTATGTGTGTATATCGTGTGTGCGTACTCATAGTATATACAGACATTTAAATTTTACAGTAGAATTACTATTTATCTTATTTCAGCAAATTAATCTCATTCTATAAGCATAATGTATGATGTATACAGCATATATGCAAATTTTTAAATTTATATTGTAGTTACTAATACAGCATTGAAAAAAATTAAATGTCAGCTTGCCCATTTAAAACAAGGGAACAAGTAGGACTTTCAGCTCCACCTGTATTCCAAATAAAAGTTAAATTATATTTAATTTCCAATCATTAAAGCCATCTTTCATTGTAGCCATATTATCATATCTATATATCTGAGAACAGAAAAGACTAGAAAGAATAAAATGCTAATACTAATCATTACAAATTTTTCTTTTTTTTTTTTTTTTACAAATTTTACAATTTTTCAAATTTCTTAAAATGGGTAAAACATATAAACAATTTAGGCATGGTGTGTGTAACAAAATGTTATCAGAATTTAAGTATGATACACTTATTTTAAATATATTAAATGATATAAATATGGTTCATTAAGAAAGTTTATGTTTACACAGGCATATATCTTATCAAAACTGGATAGAGATTTCAACGGTCTAAATTAGAAATGCCTACCACATATAATTCTCACTCATATGTTTATATACCTAAACAGTGGGAATTTATAACTTTAAGATATTTGTGCAGAAAGCTTAAAATATTTTTTAAGACTGAATCTTCAGGGATATTCAAGTTCCAGTTTTATAATAATTACACAAAAGTATAAAGTAAGCTTACATTCTGCCAGCTTCTGCTTTTCTTCTAAGTTACCATGTTCTGTCACTGATACTATGGCAGGAGAAAGAAGGAAAGAAGGAAAAAAAAAGTGGAAATTATTTTAATTAAAATACTTTGTATTTTAAATGCACACATATAATGTATATTATGCACATTGCTGAGACTAACAAATTATGCTAAATTTTTTAAAGGCAGTTGGAAAAAAAATGCCATAATGTGGATGTTTTCATTTCATAGACGTATTTCTTAAATTTGTAGTAAAAAGGCTTACACAGCACAACAGGTGGGCCAATATCCTGAGCTCACAATCTCATCAGATAGGGAAAAGAAAAACGGCAATGGAGTCTAGAACAGAAGCTGCTTCAGTCTGTCATCAGAATCATGAAGTTAGCCTATTAACCACCAAGCTAAGCACACAGGATGCCCACACAAGCCCCACTTCAACAGACCAAAACAGGAAGTAACTAGCTAGAAAGACCTTTTGGCCCATCATGAAACTTCTGGGATTAACAGGATTAATCAGATAAAGAAAATTGATCATTCACTCAGAAATGCCTATTTCAGATATCAGGTAAGGATCCAGGAGGCCAGCAACAGTGGGACCCACGCATTAACAATGCCCTCTACTGGGACACTGATAGATAAACGTGAATAGACTGTCCAGTTATCAGTTGGATCGGCAGTAAAATGAAAATTTTCACGTTCTTCTACAGTATTTTCTCGATATTGCTTTATTTTATGTAGAACAGATTTCAACCTCAGTATTTTTCTAAAGAACTGAAATGACTTTTTTTAACTTTAGAATTTAAAGCTCAAAAAGTTTTTAATAGTCAGTATTTTATAGTTTAGAATATTTCATTTATAAAAATTAGTTGAGTAGAATAGACAGTTTACCTGGTGGGTCTTTCTTGTCATAATACTGGTAGATCCCTATGTCTCTATCTATGGAAAAGAAGAAATAACATTAGATTATGGTAAAAAGTTCTGGAGAATAAGAAACCAAACCATATTATATGATACAGCAGGACTGGGGTTAGGGGGCAGGTAGGCGAGGACAGAAACAATCTTTTTATGTTACTATAAATTAATAAGTTCAAAAGTATCTGGACATGAGTTCATCTATTCTAGGGATATGCAGGAACTGGAAGGTTTATCAATCTAATCTAAAAAGATTTACACAAAACTACAAGGGCATGAGGAAAGGAGTAGTAAAAAAAAAAAAAAAACTGAAATCAAGGAAGACCAACTTTTTTCTTTCACACTTCCTCTGATATTTTTCACGGGGTGGGGGTGGGGGCTAACAAAAGGAACTGCCACTAAGCAATGCCAAATGAAATTAGCCCTGTTTCTGAGCTATTGCTTTCTTTTCTCCAGTTTAGCTGGAAGCTAGTATGGTGTTTGGGGGAAATTTGCAGGAGAGGAAGAGAAAATTAGAAGAAACATACGTATGGTTAAGTTATCTGAAGCTTGTTTAGACTCAAAAAACCTTCAAAACCCATTCAAATTCAGGTGCTCTTCTGGGGGTACAAAAGCAAAAGCAAGGCTTCCCAGATGTTGAGAGTGATTTAACCAAGAACTCTGTCCTTGCAATTGAATTACAGGAAAACCAAATAATCGTGTCCATTTTATTCGTATCTGTAAATAGTGAAATACCTTTTTCTTTGAAGTAATAGTTGTTTCCCTCCATGCAAAATAATTCTAGTTACTAACAAAAGGATACAACTGTTTCTAAAGTAGTGGAAGCAGTACAGGCTGCCCCCTAGTGACTGACTGCTCCAAACTTTCTCAAACTGAAACATGAAACTTGAAAAAAAAAAAATGTATTATAGCTATAATTTTTATTTTTATTATTTTAAACATTTATTGATTTATTTACATAATCTCTACGCCCAACATGGGGCTCAAAATCACAACCCCAAAACCAAGAGTCACATGCTCCACCAACTGAGCCAGCCAGGTGCCCCATATAATTAACTTTTCAAATAGAGTTTTTCAAAAGAGTCAATCCTGTGTACTTATTAAAGCTCCATTCTATTCATCATGCCAATAATTGGGACATATAATTTTTTTAAGATTTTATTTTTAAGTAATCTCTACATCCAATGTGGGGCTCAAACTTACAACCCCGAGATCAAGAGTTACATGCTCTACCAACTGAGCCAGCCAGGCACCCCAGGACATATAATTTTAAAGACTACAGTTATTTCTATTGGATAGGTTGAAAATATATAATAAGGGGTGACTGGGAAAGGTCATAAGTAGCACTCCTAAGATACTGATAATATTTTATTTCTTGCGTGATGATTTTATGGGTGTGCTCATTTTTTGATAGTTCAAAACATACCCTTATGATCTTTATACTTTTCAATACATATGCTATACTTCAATAAAAAGGTGGGTTTTTTTAAAATCTAAGAATCATAAGCATTATAAACACAGGTAATATTCTCTAGTATAATAATCCATCACTAGGTGCAGCCAAATATTTACAACTCTAGAACAGAACTATGAAGAACATAAAGGGCCTTGAATTTTTTTTTTAAGTTTTTGTATTTATTTAAGCAATCTCTACATCTAATGTGGGGCTCGAATCCACACCCCAAGATCAAGAGTCACATGCTCTACTGACTGAGCCAGTCAGGCACCCCACATACTTCTTTTTTTTTTTTTAAAGATTTTATTTATTTATTTGAGAGAGAGAGAATGAGAGAAAGCACATGAGAGGGGGGAGGGTCAGAGGGAGCAGCAGGCTCCTCGCCGAGCAGGGAGCCTGATGCGGGACTCGTCCCGGGACTCCAGGATCATGACCTGAGCCGAAGGCAGTCGCTTAACCAACTGAGCCACCCAGGCGCCCCCACATACTTCTTTTTAAAGAATATTTGCATTGATACCGCTTTGAGCTTTGTAGAAAAATATCATTAATTATGATATTACCAATGTCTTTGGGGGTATAAAAAGATTGCTATTTTTGGCTTCCTATCTTCTTAAAATATGTAATTCAAACATGGCAGGGCTTTAAAAAGTTCAGGTATACTGCTCAAGTCTTTCAACATAAGCAACACTGCCACACTGTATATGTTCTAGCCCTCTCCTCCTTAGAACTATTTTCAACTATGAGCTGTTTCTTCTGTATATTCCTCCATATTTATAAATAGTTTTCTCACTCTAATATTTCTTGATTCTTCAGTTGTAGATATTATCTATTGTCTATCCACTATGGAAATTGAGAATTCAGTTATCTTTTACCACTGTGTACCCCTCCCTACCTACAGACACTTGACTTACACTTCTCCCCATCCTCCCAATATAATTAGAGCACAGTTTTTGGTTAAGTCAGTGCTTACAATATTAATGAATACATAAACACTATTCACAACCGAAGCATGGGGTAGGTACACTATATGATTGCATTTCCTTTTTTTATACAACTTCCCTGATGTTAAAAATTGCCTTGTTTTTTATTTGCTTTAAAAGAATGTTAACACAGGTGCCTGGGTGGCTCAGTCGGTTAAGCATCTGCCTTAGGCTCAGGTCATGATCCTAGGATCCTGGGATAGAGCCCCACATCGGGCTCCCTGCTCAGCAGGGAGTCTGCTTCTCCCTCTCCCTCTACCCCTCCCCCCTGCTGGTGCTCTCTCTCTCTCAAATAAATAAAAGCTTTTTAAAGAATGTTAACACTAATTAATCTCCAATATACTCTCACATTTCAATGACTAATCAGTATAATTTTTTCATTGGCAACATCTCCCCTAGAGCCTCATGATCCAGTACTATTCTGGACTGCCCAACTTCTAGGTCTGATGCACAGATACTGTCTATTTTCCTGACTAGACAGATGTGCCTTCTGTCTTGGATTAATTCCCTTGTTTGGCAAGACACATATGCTCTGGTAGTTTAATGAGAAAAGGAAGGTAAATTTGGTGAGTATTTACAAAGCTGAAAATGTCTTCTGACAACTGACTGACTGGCTGGGAAGAGAATACTAAGTTGGAAATAATTTCTCTCTGAACTTTGAAAACATGATTCCATTGCTTCATAGTGTCCACTCTCAGTGTTAAAAAGGCCAAGGACAATCTGAGTTCCAACCCTTTGTATGTGATCCATTTGTTCTTTTTTTGCTATAAGATCTCTGGATTTTTTCTTTATGCTCAGTGTTCTGAAATTTCACGCTGATGTGCCTTCATATATGTCTTCTTCCATTCACTGTGTTCAGTACTTACAGGACTTTTCAACCTATAAACTCATTTTCTTAGTTCTAGGAAAATTTCTAGTAATATTTCTTTGATAATTTCTTTGCGTCCTCTTTGCTGCTTTTCCCAGAATTAGTAATTGAGTGTAGTATTCCTATGTTGAGACTCTACTATTCTTATCGCTCCTGTTTATTAATCTTATCTTTTGTCACAGCATTCATTTCACTTTTTTCTGTCAGATTTTCTATCTATTGTTTTTGAACTTCCTCTAAATGCAATCATACTATTTGTACTCTTTTGCAACTTACTTTTTTTTTTTGCCCAATATTATATTCTTGACATTCACTTTCTCTGTTGCATAAACGTATTTTTTTTTAAAGATTTTATTTATTTATTTGACAGAGAGAGAGACAGCGAGAGCAGGAACACAAGCAGGGGGAGTGGGAGAGGGAGAAGCAGGCTTCCCGCCGAGCAGGGAGCCCGATGTGGGACTCGATCCCAGGACCCTGGGATCATGACCTGAGCCGAAAGCAGACACTTAACGACTGAGCCACCCAGACGCCCCGCATAAATGTATTTATCCATTCTCCTGCTGGGTTGTTTCTAGTTGCCTGCATCATGAACAGTACTATTATGAACATTTTGGTACATGTCTCCTGGTGCACAAGTGTCAGGGCTTTTGCTAGAGTATATACCCAGGAGTGGAATTACTGGTCGATAGGTGACATATAGCTCCCACTATACTAGATAATGTCAAATTGTTTCCTAAAGTGGTTGCACCAATTTATACTTTCACTAGCAGTGAAATAAGCTGAATTTCTTCCTGTGGTGTTTTTTTTTTTTCTCTCTTCTATTTTTGGAGAGAATTCTTTTGTTGTTGCTCTTTTGAGTTTAAAATTTTTTTCTGCTATTTTTAATTTCCAAGAGGTCAGAATCACTTTCCAGTGTTTTCTGAAACTTCTGTATTTTGTTTCTTGCTCTTCATATTTAAAAATGAGGCACTAGAAAACTGATTAAAACTCTGTGTACATGAAGCGGGCTTGCCAACTGGTGGGCTTCACTGATCAGCCAGGGACCAGGGTGTTTCACTGGAGGACCCCCTCAAATGTCAATGTCAATAGGTCTTCTCTTTGGGGTCGTGCAGTTGCTCCAGGCCCTCAAACTCCTTTCTTGGAAAGTACACAACTGGCTGTGACACATTGCAGAATCAAGTGGGATTAAGAGGACTTCACCCATCTGTATGTAGGTTTTCACTTCATCACTATTTTCACTTCAGTACCTTTCCCCTGTCTTCTTTTCCTGGGGCTGATGTCTCCAAGTTTAGAGCCTCTCTAATTAAATACTTCCACATGTATGAGAGGTGTCTCACCACTTCATAAGCAAAATTTCAAGTCCTTTTGTTGTCACCCTCATACTGAATGAATCCCCATCCTTCTGCAGTATCTGGCTTCTCAAATTTCTGTATCTTTCTGGAATTCTGAGACACAGAGTGGCTGTCTTTGGAATTCTCTTCTGTAGATATTTGATATTCAGATTTTTAAGTTTTGCTAATTCCTCCATCCCTTCCATCTTCCAAAAATTGCGTAATTGCAATTGTCTCCTCTCCTATTCTCTTAGACCTTGTGGGTTTATGCCTTCTTTATTTTAATTCATTTATTCTCATTTTAGAAGAATTTGGGGAGGAAGCGAATGTGTTTTTAAATCTACCTTGTTTAACTGGAAATTCTATCCTTAGCACATTTTAAGCAAAGTAAACTTAGTGAAATTATAATTACATTTGCAAGGCAAACCATCTTCTTAGTAATGATGCTAAAGGCATATAAATAAACCTCTCCTTCTAAATACTAGAGTTGTTTTGGATAATCAAAGAGGAGAAGATATTTTAACAGTTATTTCCTAACAATACATACTTTATGCTAAAATACTAATAAGCATCATTAAAACATACTTACGTTACTCCTGTCCTCCAAAATGTGAAATGAAAGAATATAAACATAATTAATTGTACATCTTAGCTGTATGTTTGAAATATTATCTTAATATCGAATAGAAATACCCTTACCATTAGCTAGCCTGCAAATATTTATGAATATATATCAGTCATTATGAACAATCCCAGGAAAAAACTGAACATGTATGTATCCTAAAAGGAAACTAATATTAGGCCAATAAAATTAATTTCATAACAGAAAATCTAACTCAAGTTGAAAAAATAACTTTTTCAGAGTAACTAAAAAGAATTATTTTTCATTAACCAATTTTTCATTAAGTATAAGAAAATAATGCAATTCTAGCTAGAGAATCCAGGCTCTAACCTTTGCTAATACTTACTTATAACATTATAACTTATATTTGAAAAATACTGAAATTAACCCAGAGCTCACTTACCCCCAATGTGTAAGGTATTCTTCAAAGACCACAGGTGCAGTTCAGTCAAGCAGAAAGACATCTGATGGCAGAAGAAATCTCTGTCCTGTTTAAAAAATAGTTAAAAAGAGATGCCAATTAATTATTGTCAATAAAACCAGATCCCTTAGAAAAATAACAATCATTTGACACTACTCATATTTGAGATATGGCGTCCATTAGAATAAACATATTTTAACATATCCTTGGTTAACCATCCAGAAATAAACTCTAGAAAAAGAAAAATACACTCTTCCTAAATGTAGTATGCCATCTCACTGAGAAATGTGGTAAGAAGAATATATGTATTTGAATTTTCAGTAACTTGTTTGATTTTTAAGGCTCTGAGTATATTTAGAATTATTTAGTATTTAAGCATTTTTAAAACATTTTAAGAAAAGGAAACATCTGTTAGGTAATTATTAAGTACAAACACATTTTGTGGTGTATTTTTAATATACAAAGCAAATATTTATGATCTCCCACATACAAACAAGCTAATTAAAGTGGAATTTGCAAGGTAAATCACTATTATAAGAAACATTTACTTAAAGGTAAACTGTGTAAAACCACATTAGCATTCAGAAAAGTTTGTTAATCTGCATGTCATGATAGATTCAGATATTCTACTCTAAATACATTAAGATGGAAAAAACAAGATAACAAAAACAGTTCATTGAGTATTTCCTCCCAGTTTTAATATCAGGGGCTAGTGATGGATATTACTGATACTTTTTCATGAAGTAGTATGTCATTAATTTGGACTAATTGGAGAAAGGCCAATATGAATCAGAAAAAAATGTCAACATTTTACAAATATTTTATAACTTCCAAATGTTTGCTTAGAAATACATGTAGTACTATACTATATGAATAGTTCACTATATATTAGAAATATGTAAACTACTGATACTTTCTTTATAGAGATAATAAAAAAATTGCTCTTTCCAATAAACTTCTGAATAACAAAGAAAGCTTGAAAAATATTTTATGACATCTTTAGACAGAAGAAAAAGCCCCCAGCTTCTTTAATATTAGGAGTGACTAAGTATTTCCCATACTATTCATATGGGTGATAACCCAAAATAATTTTATTTTTAAAGATCTTATTTATTTATTTGACAGAGAGAGAGGGAACACAAGCATGGGGAGTGGAAGAGGGAGAAGCCAGACTCCCGCCGAGCGGGGAGCCCGATGCAGGGCTCAATCCCAGGACCCTGGGATCATGACCTGAGCCGAAGGCAGACACCTAATGACTGAGCCACCCAGGCGCCCCCCAAAATAATTTTAGACGTAGTACAAACTTCTTCCTTCCTTCCTTCACCGTTACATTTGATGTCACTGTATTTACAATAATCAAGAAAGAGATGCATGTTCAAATAACAAGATGCAGTGTGCCAATATTGAAATGGCAGAGTGAACAATGTAGCAGCATGGAAGAAGAGCCAAGCCTGCCTGGAACAGTGGGGCTCTGAGAAAGCTACAGAGAAGTTGTGAAATGTTAGCAGGACCTCAAAGAAGCATAGGATTTCACCAGTTAAACAATGATAAAGAAAATGATGATGATAACAGGCAACAGCAATACTTGCTAAGTACTGACCTCATTACAAGCATTGTTCTAAACATTTTATATGTATTAACTCATTTAATTCTCAGAGCTACCCTTTGAAGTAGTACCATCATTACTCCTATAAAGAGGAAACTGAGGCACTGAGAAGCCACATAGCCAGCAGGTAGTTGAGGCAGGCTTTGAATATAAGCAGACTGTGCTTGAAACCAGAGCACTCTCGAATATTGGGCTATCTAGAGGTGTGAGAGGGAGAACAAGTAGTAAGGTGAGTAAAAGGATGGCATATGCCAAGCAAGGAAGTAGATTAAAAAGCATGGTAGAAAGTGATAGAAAAATGAAGCTGAAAATGGGTAACAAGGAAACAGGCTATAAAAATAATAGAGATGGGGCGCCTGTGGCTCAGTCATCAAGCGTCTGTCTTCGGCTCAGGTCATAGTCCGAGGGCCCTGGGATCAAGCCCCGCATCGGGCTCCCTGCTCGGCGGGAAGCCTGCTTCTCCCTCTCCCACTCCCCCTGCTTGTGTTCCCTCTCTCGCTGTGTCTCTCTCTGTCAAATAAATAAATAAAATCTTTAAAAAAAAATAATAGAGATATTTGGATTGATCTGAGTTCACTCTCTTCCTTGAACTAAAGTGCCTTAAAAGGGTAGTGATAAAACAAAGGACCCGTCAGTCCCCAGATCTATCCTGCTGTCACCAGAAGCTGGCTGCCACTGTATACAGGTATGGGGCAGAAGAGCTAGTGGACCTCAGCACTGTGAAAGAGGATGACGTTCCTTATCGGCAGGCAGTAGAGAAAAAGTGATACTAAGCTAATTACAAGTTTTTCAATTCAATTGGGCATTATCTCACAGTTGTCTCCTTGGGAGTGATTCTAGTGATGCTGCTATTACTCAAAATATTTCCAAAGCCATATTTTTTGGAATTGCTTTCAGTTAGTTTTATGAGGCTTATTTTGGGATTATTACTTTAGGGTTATACTTTTTTAAAAACCAAAATACTTACTGTATTAGAATATGTAAAATGCACCCTTCTCATGTGGATGGGTGAGGCCTGGAATGTTTGTTTAAAGAAACAATAAATAAATAAATAATAAATATTATAACTTTATATATAAATAAAACAAATAAATAAATAAATATTTACTTGCATTTAGTAAGCTTAATGTATAGGTTCTAGACTCTAACCGCCTGGTTTCTTATTCTAACTTCTCAGTTTACTAGCTAACTTGGACAACTAACTTATTTTTCTAAGGTCCCCCCAGATATAAAATGGGTATAATAAAGTACCTACCTCAGGACTATTTTGAGGGCACTTTTATTCAATTAATTTATTGTTACCATTGTTGTTGCTGCTACTGCTATTACTCAATATCTCTAGCATTATGCAAATTTATCTGGAAAAAACACAAGAAGTGTATTACACACAATCGCTCACCTTAGATAGTAATTTCACAAGGTAAATGAATAAAAGAATAAGTACAAAGTACAATAGGGATTTTATGAAGGTAAAACATCTAGTTTCTATACAAGAGAAAGTATTTGAATTAGGACATGCAAATATTAGGACTAATATTTCACTGGGAACAGAGAGAGGATGTGATGAAACAAGAGCATATTTCCTCTGATATTGAACAACAGCAGTCACAACTTTTAGACTACACTAGAAAATAAAAATTCGCATTCTTCAATTTAGTGTTTACTCAGACACCAATAATTAGAATTTATGACAATGTGGGCAAAGACAAGGCTGAAGTTTAGTTGTTAGTAGCTAAATAAAAAAAACTTTTATTATGCAAATTAAATATGAAAATAATTTTATAGTTAAAGCCAAAAGGGCCACACCTTTACTTATATATCAAAAGCAGACTGCACTTGAAACTCTGTTTTTCCATTTAAGTCCATTCAATAATAAAGAATTTGACAACTTTCCCCTGATAACAGAAATGGAGAGCAAAGAATAATTTTCCTTGTAATCCACACTGGTTATTTATTTTTTTTAAAGATTCTATTTATTTATTTGTCAGAGAGAGAAAGGGAGAGGGCACAAGCAGGGGGAATGGCAGACAAAGGGAGAAGCAGACTTCCCACTGAGCAAGGAGCCTGATGTGGGACTCAATCCCAGGACCCTGGGATCATGACCTGAGCCGAAGGCAGATGCTTAACCGACCAAGGCATCCTCACATTGGCTATTTCTAAGAAGCAGGAATGCTTTTAACCTGAAAACCAATAGATCCGCTGCCCATATTTTTACTAAGTCTGAAAGTCCTAAAGTACTCAGAAATTACAGAGTTTGGGGAAAAACAAGCAAAATGAGGTCCATGGAGAGCTTCAAATGTCAAGTGCAAAGGCCACAACCCTTTGTATTTGGACATAAAGAGAAATCCTGAGAATAGTACAGGTTTGAGTCTATTATCTGGACTTGTCTTCCAGCTCAGCACCAAGGGTTCATGTATAGTCTCAATGGAGTGTGAAGACTGAGAAAAATGCCCTATTTCTCAAAATGCTCTGATATACAAACAACACTGCTCCAGTTCCCCATTAAAAAATACAGGATGGGGAGCTGGGTGACTCAGTCAGTTAAGTGTCTGCCTTAGGCTCAGGGCATGATCCCAGGTCCTGGGATCGAGCCCTGGGACCGCTGTGTTGAGCCGGGCTCCCTGATCAGCAGGGAGCCTGCTTCTCCCTCTCCCTCTGCCTCTGCCCCTCCCCCTGCTTGTGCTCTCTATCAAATAAATAAAATCTTTAATAAAAAAAAATACAGACAAAAGGGGGAGAGAGACATTTTGCTTTATAAAGGACCTCTTTGTGGCCCCCATAGGGAACATTTGGTGTAAGAGTAATGAAGTGGTTGTAGGGGATGATACCCAGCAGAAAGTAAGCAGGACTGGCAGCCCTTTGGATTAACATACTCAGCAAGAGTGGTGGTATCCAGACAAAATGGATCCACACTCAGCAAAAGTAGACATGGTGGCCAAGAAGTAATCCATAAAACCTGGAGAAATATCAGCAATAATCAGTTGATGGAGCAAGCCTAGCAAGTAGTAGGTGAGGCAAGTGAGAAGAAAATAGCCAATGTCCATTAGTAAGTGATTGTACTTGTTTATGAGCACATGAGACAACTCCTGCCGACTCCCCAAAATATATATAATTAAGGAGGAGGTTTTGCGGGAGTCATGCTATAGCAGGCTGGCCAAAAATAGTCAAATGTGGGTTATTTATCCTTCTTTTCCCCTGAACTTTAAATATCTGCTAGTACGACCATATAAAACTGAAGAGAATTAATGGAGTAAATAAAACAACTTTATAAAAATCTAAAATAATAACTAGATGGGCATGGTGAGAGGAGACCAAGGCAATATCCTTTTTAGTCCTCAAGATATTTTGCCATCTTTACACTGTGCAGGTTTTTTTTTTTTTTTTAAAGATGCAGACCTTTAAATCTTGCATCTTACTCAAGAATACCACTAGTTAAAAAGAATGCTGGTTATTTCCTTGTTTGAAAAATCTGCCTGGAGGAAATAGTCAAGACTGAGCTCGTATTATTCAAATATTGTATTAGTGCATAAATGGTTGTTTTGAAGGAGGAAAGAAAAGAATTTCAGAAGAATGCTGGATTTTGCATTGTGGGATCAGAGTGTGAGCAGGGATTATTAAAAGGGTAGAGAAATAGGGAGTGCCTAAAAAAGTTAGCTGAGAAATGCTGCCCTTACTCAGTGTCCTTGTGCATTTCTCTAGGAATAAAACCCAATGCACAATTTAGAACTATAACAAAAGTAGCCATTTAAGGGGAAATATGAAAGAATGAATGAATGAATGGAAAATATAGCAAAGAACTACAGGAGGAAAAACTTAAACAACAACCAAATGCCCATATTTTTTATTTTAAAATAACTCTTAAACTTTTACAATTTTTTATTTACTTTAATTTTGTAAGGTAGTTGGTGACAGTCCCAGATGTATCAGAAGGCCATTCTGAATCTAAACTTCCAGTCTCCATAAGAGAATAAGAAGCATGATTTAAATTAATCTTGACATAAATCTGGATGATTGCTCCTGTAGAGGGCAGAATGTATGATAGCCCAAATTTTGAGGACAGAGATGAGAGGATCCTAGAGGGCCTTCTTTTTACTTACATTTTTAAAAGGTTTAAAGCCTTCCCCCCAAAACAGGTTACATAAGAAAAAATTAATATTTATTTGCCTTAAGAATAACTGTTACCATACAGACTAAATTTTAAGTAACATGCAAAATAAAAACAGTTGTGCTAAGATGCTGTAACCTGTTTTGCTTTTGATAATTTTCTTTTGAAAAATAAAAACTATGTTTTAGAGGTACAGATTTCTTGCCACTAAATAAATCCGCAAAATACATGTCTTCTGTGGTTTCTTAAGTCAGCTATTTTGACTGTTTTGGGAAGGAAGCTTGAGGGCAAATAAAAACCCTAATGTAAAATATGATGGGAAAGGAAAGAATTAACAAATAGAAGACATTGCTGTGGTTTAACAAAGATAAATGACACCAGGTGCCAACAAGGCATTTAAAATAAATGTGTATCAGCACAATACCTCAGAGAGCCTAAGGGAATCTTTCTTGGGCATAATCCTAGAGCATACACTTGTTATTTATTACCGATAGACTTTCTAAGGAATCTATTCACCAATTCAAAATGTACAAAAATAAAGACAACTAAATAGCATAAATTTAAGATAAACCACTGGTTTAATTGTATTAGGTGTTTTAGTCATCAATAGGTAATTTTCAAATTACACAAAATACAATGTATCCCCCCATAATCTTTTGTCAATAACAGAATCATACTAATACCTGTTAAGCATATACATGAACACAATCAATGTCACATTATCAGAAATTAAGATTTTAAAAAATATTTAATATTTAATTTAATATTTTAAAATATTTTAAAATATTCAACACTAAACCAAACAATTAAGCAGTGATAAAATTTGTGTAAAAGGACAGGAGTCTCAAAATAAAAAGACCTCAAGCTTGGATTGAACCCACAGCAAAAAAGACTAGAGTGTTAGAAACACCAGGTCATTAGTACCTCAGAGAGTCTTATGATATTATATTAATTATCAATTAAATTATATTAATTAAATATTACCAATATTTTGAGCACCTTAGGTGTATGACATTTTACTGTGAGTCCTAGATATGAAGACTTACAAAGTAGGGTCTCTACTATCAAACAGCTATAATCCAGTGTAACAGATAAAATAACCACAAAAAATATGAGGTTTGTGGTAAGTGCTAAACAAAGGGTCAGGGGTGCTCAGTAGAGGCTCTAGTTTGATAATAAAGAAATGTTCTTATAAAGTAGAAGGGCATTTAAGGATTATTAGATTTTGAGAGAGGGTGAGAGCTAAAAAGGAGGGAATAATATACAAAAGCATAAGTTGCAAGGCTTATTGGAGAAATAATAAGCAACTGGGTTGGTGCACAAATAGAAGAGAGAAATCAGGGCCACACTAAGGAAGTCTGAATGCCATACTTAGCCGTCAGGACTTTACATCTGCTAGGTAACTAATGAGGAAGAGTGACAAGTTTCTGATCTGGTAAGGGATTTTAGAAAAAGTAATCAACAGATCAGAATTGTTGCTGGAAGATTAACTGGTAGGTGGGAATATTGGAGGAATAGAGGAATAGGATACAAGTGACCTGACAGGTAACATTAATATTCGGTAACAAGAACTTGAAATGGGATGGTAGCAATTGGAATGTAAATAAAAGAACATTCGAGTCATCTTTTGAAGAAAGAATCAACAGCATATGGGGATTAATGAATTGTAGAAGTGAGAAAGAAGGAAGAGTCTGGAGTAACCACCAAGGAATGGGGATCTGGTTACTGCTCAGATAGTGACCCTTGCCTTGAACATGGCTCCACTGAGCAGGCATGTCTCTAACACATGTGCCAGTATAGTCTGCTCACGACTGCCTTAACTACTCAATCCATAAACCTCAATCCTCCCAGCCACTGACATGGTTACTCAGTCTCCTATTTTACTTTTCCCTTGCCCCTCAGTTTATAACTCTGGCTCTTCTTCTTCCTTAGACTGTGATTCAGCTTCGTCACTCTGGTAAAGGACTCACAACTATCATTTTTCTTAGCCACACCCAGTTCACAAAAACTCCTTAGCCCTTTCCCTACCTTGTTTATTCTAGTTTCAAGAACAGGAGTTGGAATAAAACATATACAGAAACAGGTTAGTCTAGAAAAGGAGGAAGTTTTGCCAATGTAGGCAAATTTTTGACACAGTGGGAATTTAAGGTAAAAGTAGATATGGGTAGAAATATCTAGCTGGTAGCTAGAAATACAGAAAAGGGACATAGACTGTACCAAAAGTATCTTGGGATTTTCTGAATAGAAAGTTAA